TAATATATGAATTATGACACAGCAGAGGGTGACATAGTAAGAATGTGATTGAAAACCTGTTGATCCCCGTTTGTGTGTGTATGTATACTCCAAATGTGTGGATATACTGTGGGCAGTGCCAGGACAAGGTCATCTAGCACCCAAGGCTAAGATGCCAAATGACATCCCCCCCCCCCATCCAAATCCTATGAGCATTACCTGTCAGCAGAAATCCCCTCCAAAAAAATTTGGAGCACTAATCTTTACACTTGCCATTTAAGCATACATTTCCAAAATTCTCCCCCTCAAAACATTCTCCCTCTTCCAGTGCAAATCCCATCTACCAGCACAAATTCTCTCCCTCCCCAAAATCCCCTCTCCTAGCTCAAGTCCTCCAGCCTTAAAAATTTCCCCTCTCAGCATAATCCTCTCCCCCCTCTAAATCCCCCTCCCCCAGTACAAGTCCCCCCAAATCACCTCTCCTAGCACAAATTCTCTACTCCTCAAATTTCCCCTCTGAGCATAAACCCTCTCCCCCGTCCAAATCCCCCTACCCCAGCACAAATCCCCTCTCCTAGCACAAATCATCTCCCCCCTCCAAATCCCCCTAAAAATCTCCCTCCCCAGCACAAATACCCCCAAATCCTCTCTCCTAGAACAAATCCTCCAGGTGTCAAATTTCCCCACTGAGCATAAATTCTCCCCCCTCCAAATGCCCCTCCCCCAGCACAAATACCCCCAAATCCTCTCTCCAAGAACAAATCTTCCACCCCTCAAATTTCCCCTCGGAGCATAAATCCTCTTCCCCCTCCAAATCCCCTTCCCCCAGCACAAATCCCCCCAAATCCCCTCTCCTAGCACAAATTCTTCACCACCTCAAATTTCCCTCTGAGCATACATCCTCTTCCCCCTCCAAATCCCCTCCCCAAGCACAAATCCCCCAAATCCTCTCTCCTAGCACAAATCCTCTACCTCTCAAATTTCTCCTCTGAGCATAATCCTCTCCCCCCTCAAAATCTCCCTCCCCCAGCACAAATCCCCAGCACAAATCCCAGCAAATCCCCTCTCCTAGCACAAATCATCTCCCCCCTCCAAATCCCCCTACAAATCTCCCTCCCCAGCACAAATACCCCCAAATCCTCTCTCCTAGAACAACTCCTCCACCCCTCAAATTTCCCCTCTCAGCATAAATCCTCTTCCCCCTCCATCAGCACAAATACCCCCAAATCCTCCCTCCTAGAACAAATCCTCTACCTCTCAAATTTCCCTCTGAGCATAAATCCTCTCCCCCTCCAAATCCCCCTCCCCCAGCACAAATCCCCTTACATGCCCTTTCCTAGCAGAAATCCTCTACCCCTCAAATTTCTCCTCTGAGCACAATCCTATCCCCCCTCCAAATCCCCCTCCCCCAGCACAAGTCCCCCCAAATCCCCTCTCCTAGCGCTAATTACCCACCCCCCCTTCAAATTTCCCCTCCCAGTACAAATCTTCAAAATCATCCCTTCTAGCACAGCCCCCCCCCCCCCCCCCATACCCCTTCCTAACACAAATCCACCCTCCTAGTATAAATCCCCCCTCCAAATCACCCCTTCTTTCACAACCCCCCCAAATTCCCAATACGCCTAGGACAGCCACCCCCACTGCCCACCTCTTGTCCTGGCCCTGACTTTGGGGGTGAATTCCTAAAACTGGAGCACTCAATTTCTGGTGCAGCTGTGCATGGGAGCCAATCAGCTTTTAACTTCAGCTGGTTCAGTTAAGCTTTGACAATAAAACCTGGAAGCTGATTGGTTTCTGTTCAGAGCTGCACCAGATTTTGCACCATGCATGTCGGAAACACGCGCAAAATTGTGCGCTTTCCTGACATGCACAGAAACGCGCTGCTCTTTAGCAGATGTGCAATTTGGTGCTGTGCAATTTTACAAAAGGGTCGGGGATTTTTCCCCCTGCATTTCTCAGGGAAAGAAGTCCCCAGGGACAGCCAATGTTAATGTGCCAGGAGCATGCTTACTGTGTGTTCCCAGGACAAAGACTGAGCTGTCAAAGACTGGGCTAATATTCAGTAGCAGGCAGGACCAGCTTCAGATCATGTGATCACTGTCACAATGGTCACATGATCAAAAGCCGATCCCGCCTGCTACCGATCTTTGATCTGGACCGGAGCTGTTTTTGTCTGCTTAGTCTTTTTCTTGGGAGCCCGCAGTGAGCACGCTCCCAGCACATAAACATTGGCAGCCCAGTGACGCATATGTGCAATATGACACAGATAAAGCCATCACACATATGTGTTAAGGGGTCATAAAGAGTTTAAGATAACAAAATAATCTCTTAGATTGTAAGCTCCAGGATCAGGTCCCTCTAACCCTCTTGTATTGAACTGTATTGTTGCTGTATTGTCTCCAGTTATATTGTAAAGCGCTGAGCAAACTGTTGGCACCATAAATCCTGTATAATAATAATATAATAATATATAAATCCTGTATAATAATAATAATAAATCCTGTATAATATAATAATATATAAATCCTGTATATAATAATAATATATAAATCCTGTATAAAATAATAATAATAATATATAAATCCTGTATAATAATAATAAATAATAATAATAATAATAATATATAAAATCCTGTATAATAATAAATATAATAATAATATATAAATCCTGTATAATAATAATATATAAATCCTGTATAATAATAATATATAAATCCTGTATAATAATAATAATATATAAATCCTGTATAATAATAATATATAAATCCTGTATAGTAATAATAATAATATATAAATCCTGTATAATAATAATAATATATAAATCCTGTATAATAATAATAATAATAATAAATAATATATAAATCCTGTATAATTTTAATAATACATATTTTTTTAATTTGTTTTAAACAAACCAGGCTTTTGTTGGGAGTATTATCATGCAAAAATGATTTTATTTTTTATGCAATCCATAGACAAAAAAGTAACAACAAAATAAAAAAGCAAATTATCCCACTTTGATTGGTGTTCATTTATTGTTAATATAGATAAAAAAGTATACATTTTATTCTATAATTTTTCCTGTTTAAAATGACAATAAACATGATGATTCTGGTACAAAGCATGGCAAAGTTATTTACAAACTAAATAAAGGCATTTTTGTTCCAATTTTTTAATATGAATAATAATATTTGAAAAAAAAATCTCAGAAATATAGAAAATGATAGAAATAGTTAAGGGGAAAAAAAATATGGAAAACTATATATCTATATCTATATTTATCTGTGTACTTTATTGGTGATTTTTTTTGTATGCCTGAAATTTTATTAATTTTATTAAGGATGTAACAATAAAAACATAGAGTTGTGACTGATATTCATGGTTCTTTTTTTGGATCCTTGTTTAGGATGGTACCTCTGAAAAAGTGACTAATTACTTATTTGAATTTCACTTCTCTCTCATGTATGTTCTATTCTTTTAGGTACAATCAAATCCCAACCATTACCATAGGGATGAATTTTGTTTTAACTTTAAATAGGATCAGCATCCAAAACCAACATCTTTTGGGGGTGTATTTGGGACTGTTCCTGGTGTCAAAGACAGCTAACAACTATATATATATATATATATATATATATATATATATATATAGCAGTGGTCTTCAAACTGTAGCCTGGGGGCTAGATGCGACCCTTTGCTTGCCTTTGTCCAGCCCCTGGGACACTTTTCCTCCTACAGACACTGGCAATGGGGCGCAATTCCTGTTATTGACAGCAACAGCAGAGCACTATTCCTCCCACTGACACCGATGATGGGGCACTATTCCTCCCACTGACACCAATGATGGGGGCACTATTCCTCCCACTGACACCAATGATGGGGCACTATTCCTCCCACTGACACCAATGATGGGGCACTATTCCTCCCACACCAATGATGGGGCACTATTCCTCCCACTGACACCAATGATGGGGCACTATTCCTCCCACTGATACCAATGATGGGGACACTATTCCTCCCACTGATACCAATGATGGGGCACTATTCCTCCCACTGATACCAATGATGGGGCACTATTCCTCCCACTGATACCAATGATGGGGAACTATTCCTCCCACTGATACCAATGATTGGACACTATTCCTCCCACTGATACCAATGATGGGGCACTATTCCTCCCACTGACACCAACGATGGGGGAACTATTCCTCCCACTGACTCCAATGATGGGGCACTATTCCTCCCACTGACACCAATGATGAGGCACTATTCCACCAACTGGCCTCTACGATGAGGCATTATTCTTCCTACTTAGTCCAACGATGGGACACTATTCCTCCCACTGACACTAATGATGGGGACACTATTCCTCCCACTGACACTAATGATGGGACACTATTCCTCCCACTGACACTAATGATGGGGCACTATTCCTCCCACTGATACCAATGATGGGGCACTATTCATCCCACTGACAAAAATGATGGAGCATTATTCTTCCCAGTTAGTCCAACGATGGGACACTATTCCTCCCCTTCATGCCAAAGAGGCGATGTTTACTCCCACTGACGTCAGGTAACAATTTCTTATCCCAATGGCCACAGTCCAGCCCCCCCTAAAGTCTGAAGGACAGTAAACCATCCCTTTGTTTAGAAAGTTTGAAGACCCCTGATATATAGTATGTAGTTCTGTATTCTATGATGAAAAATGTATCTTTTTATTCTCTCTGACACAAGGTGCAATACAATTTTAAAGCCCCATTTTCCCAAATGCAACATTTTTAAAATGTCCACCAGTTCCTCCAAAAAGACTTTCTTAAAGGAAGCAGATGAGAAGTAGAATATGATGGGATCCAATGATGCGTTGAAGGTGCTTAATAGCAGAGCGTAGACTCTCCACTGTGGACTATCGCCCTGGAAAAAACCCCACAACATGCGATAAATTATAGGGCATGAAACAAAGAATGAAATTAATGAGGGTGACCACCACTAGGCAGATGGCTCTCATTTTTCTTCTTTTCTCCAAGCGAGGCTGAGACAGGACGATCTTGATGAAATTGGCATAACAGAAGACGGTGATCAAAAATGGGATGAGGAACAGGAGCAAACTCATTTCTAGCCTGACTGGGAGTAGAATCTTGAGCTGGCGTGGAGAAAACGTACTGTAGCACGTCATATTGTTGTGTTCCGTCATATTATTGGGAAGAACATGCTCCACGATGTATACAATACTGCAGTGAACAGATCCAATGAACCAGATGAAGAGGCTAGTCAGCACAGAGTAGATTGGTTTCCGGAGAAGCGTGTATTTGATAGGAAAGGCAACAGCAAGATACCTCTCCAGGCTGATGGCCATGAGGAAGAGAGAGGTGATGTAAATGCTGCTGAAATACATAAACGATGACAAAGGACATAACACATACGGCATATTCCACTGCATGCCAGATGCGGCTTCCAACATGCGGAAAGGAAGAAACATCAAAAGAAGCAAATCGGAAATGGTCAAGTTGACCAACAGGATGTCCACTGGTAGGACACCTTGCCTAAATTTTTTGATGAGCGTACACAGGGCTGCTATGTTCAGGGGAAGTCCTGTTACAAATGTGAAGATGTAGACGAACAAAAAGAGGGCGTCCGATCCTGGAAAATAGGACATGATGGTTCACTCGGAACTTAATATTGGGGAGGATGAATTTAGTCAATTCCTCTGTTGATTTGTTTTTGGTCCTTGAAACTTCTGAAGCATACTGAAAAAAAAAAAACAGGTCACTGATAAGAGCTGCAATTACTTTTTTTGTACCTTTCTATGTGTAAAACTAGTACCAAAAATAAAGCTGTCACCGCCATGTAGAACATGAACACTTACCTCTACCTGCTATCTTTACCTCCTGCTATGGACACTTACCTCTCCTGCTCCACCCATCTGTGCAGTAGTAAGGCCTCGTTTATATTGACGTTTCAGTTGGGTCCGTTTGAGCATTTTACAGGTTGACCAAATCAGGACCTCCATTCTCCTCTATGGAGCGGCGGGTGTAGGTGGACATGTGTCCGTTTTAGGGTTGCTAACCGTCAGTAAATTTACAGACACTTTCTGAAAATCAGTGATTTCTACAATTGTATGTACATATCAGGGGCTGATAATTTGTCACACTGTGGTGACTTTTGTAAGTGTAAACTTGAGAAGCATTGCTGGGCTGCAATCCTATCCTAACATACACTGTAGATGAGAAGCTGATCCATACATTTGTGTTCTCCCGACCAGGGGCGGACTGACCATTTGGAAACTCGGGCACTGCCCGAGGGCCCGGGGTTAGTAGGGGGCCCCATGAGATGCCCCTGGTACCTTTTATATAGGCTTTTTTGAGTTTGGGCAAGGACACAGGGGCCCCATGATCCCCTATTGCCCGGGGGCCCCATGAATTGTCAGTTTGCCCCTGGTGTATACCAGTCAATTTACTTGTTATGGGTATTGTCAGTGTTTCCATATTGTGTTTATACTGTTTAAATATTGATTGTCTTTTAATGTCATTTTTCAGGTTGTCGGTAAAAAATGTGCTCCCCATTTGGGGACACTGGACCATTTACACCCTCCTACATCCAATCCGATCTGTTCTGCCAAAGAGAGACGGATGGGGATCTGTTTCCCTTCTGCCCAGAGAGTCAGATGGAAGTTGGGTGTTCCCGTCTGCCCTATAGCAGAAATACTGCTACAGGGTGGCATGGATGCACAAAATCACGTATATATACATGGATGCACAAAATCACGTATATACACATGGGTGCACAAAAATCACGTATATACACATGGGTGCACAAAATCACGTATATATACATGGGTGCACAAAATCACGTATATATACATGGGTGCACAAAATCAACGTATATACACATGGGTGCACAAAATCACGTATATACACATGGGTGCACAAAATCACGTATATATACATGGGTGCACAAAATCACGTATATATACATGGGTGCACAAAATGTATATATACAAGGGTGCACAAAATCACGTATATACACATGGGTGCACAAAAAATATAGCACGTATATATACATGGGTGCACAAAATCACGTATATATATACATGGGTGCACAAAATCAGGTATATATATACATGGTGCGCAAAATCATGCATACATGGGTTCACAAAATCACGTATATATATGGGTGCACAAAATATATATAAATATATATACATAGGTGCACAAAATCACATATACATACGTGATTTTGCATCTCCAGGTAGGGGGCACACGTGAGCCATTCGCAGCCGTGGCTATCAATCACCGGGTCCAGGCCGGTAATTACTTGTAGTACTGTACAGTACTGCTTGGACCTTGAAGAAGGGGACACTCCCCGAAAGCTTGTCCTCAAAATTGTATGTTAGTGCAAATAAAAAAAGTATCACGGACAGTACTCTATTGTTTCTGTCGCAAATGCACTAATACGGCTACAATCACCTCAACCAAATTTCACCAAAATTTAGGGAAAAGAAAATCTCTCATCCCTAGTATTGGGTATTTTCTCACCTTTAGCTGGCAACTATGCACTTTGTGGTAAATATTTCTGCTTTTTCACTGGTGTTTTATTTTGCTTCTTCCGGATCAAAAGCCATAATATAAATTGGAAAAGCTTCAACCTAATAAACTTTGGTCTTTATCATCATTGCTATGTATCTACTCTATGTAACCATGTATGTAGACTTAGCACGATAATACCTGAGCCCATTGTAAATGTGGATGTTACAATGATAAGTCAGCCATGTGGTCATGTGAGGGTTATAAATGATCGGTACAAGGTGATAATTTCAAATCTTAATTAACGGGTGAAATAAGATAGCGTGGCAATGGCGGGGCCACGTGGGACGGCAGACCAAGCCAACAGCTGTGGGAGTGGAATAACTTCTTCTTGCTATAACTTGTCAAGTCTAACTATAAGCTGAGACTAGATTTATTTTAAAGTGAAACTCAACTGTATCTGAACTCCACAAATTGAAAACTCTATTAATTAATTTTTAATATTCGGAGCAAACTCCCCCATCCATCTGTAACGGAACCGGAACCCAGACCGCACTGAGTTTTTCCGTTATACCACAGCTTCCCCTGTCCGAACACCTTCCACGGACCACACCCTTGAAATCCCTCAGGAAAAAGACAGCACCCAGCTCTTCTTAATACAGAAAGCCAAATCAACTTTATTTTACACAAACAACATGTTTTATACAGAGGGTGGGGAAAGACAACCAGGAACAGGAAATACATCATCACCCCCTTCCCCATCCCACCAAGACACAGAACAATGGGATGAAGGACATTGACCAACCCCCACACCAATACACAAATAGTACATCCCATAATAGTTGGCTGGCCAGCAAGGCACAGCACAATGAGGGGTAGCACATGGCACACAGACAATGGACAGCCATGTGGCCTAGACAAAGGACAACACACAAATGCACAATACTGGGACATTCACATGTACACCCTGTACCCTTAAACAGGCACAGGGTGGGTTAAACATAATGATTTGGGGAGATGATACAGAGGCCCCCCCACCCCCAAAAGTCACTCCTGTCACACCATCCATGTCTCCATGCTTTATGTTGTCGAGAAATCACTTTGAAAAAAAATCCCCTAGCATTTCTAGCTGTGGCCATCTTTCGTAAGGGCAGATGGTTCATATAGCATTTACTTCCTAGAATCCATCTGCCCTTAGCTCAAGCTTGCAGGTAGGATGGTGTACTTAGCTGTAAACATGGGCGGACTGACAACTCATGGGGCCCCTGGGCAATAGGGGATCATGGGGCCCCTGTGTCCTTGCCCAAACTCAAAAAAGCCTATGAAAAAGGTACCAGGGGCATCTCATGGGGCCCCCTACTGACCCCGGGCCCTCGGGCAGTGCCCGAGTTTCCAAATGGTCAGTTCACACCTGGCTGTAAAAAATGCCCATGATGGCTAATGGGATGTATGACATCATTTTGGCCTTGGCCAGAAACCAGGAGGCAATTGAAGAAATAAAAAAAAAAAAGTTTAAAATGGGGAAAATTTAATATACTGTACCTACTTACTAGTGTCGGGCTTGATGTTTGAGTCGAACGTAAGTTCAACTCAAACATTTTCTGTTTGTGTGTTTGATGAACACACGAATGGTAAGGGCGTTTGGTGGGCTGTTCACCCACCACACCCCACAATCTGCGTTCTGACAGTGCATTGTGATTGGCCAAAGCAATGCACCTGACCATGGGTCAAGTGCAATGCTTTGGCCAATCACAGCACATGATGACTTCACAAGGAGGTGGGGTCACCAGGTTGATGTCGCCGGGTGCCCCCGCCCCTTAGATATTAGCTGTCGTACTTTCTCAAGCTTTTCAGACCAGAGGAACCCTTGAAAAAACTTTCTGGTCTTAAGGAACCCCTGCTAAAAATCTACAACTCATGATACATTAGTGTGATGGTCAGGTGCAATGCTTTGGCCAATCACAGCACATGATGACTTCACAAGGAGGTGGGGTCACCAGGTTGATGTCACCGGGTGCCCCCATCCCTTAGATATTAGCTGTCAGACTTTCTAAACCTTTTCAGACCAGAGGAACCCTTGAAAAAACTTTCTGGTCTTATGGAACCCTGCTAAAAACTACTATATCTACAACTCATGATACATTAGTGTGATGGTCAGGTGCAATGCTTTGGCCAATCACAGCACATGATGACTTCACAAGGGGGCGGGGGTCACCCGGTTGATGTCACTGGGTGCCCCCGCCCCTTAGATATTAGCTGTCAGACTTTCTAAACCTTTTCAGACCAGAGGAACCCTTGAAAAAACTTTCTGGTCTTAAGGAACCCCTGCTAAAAATCTACAACTCATGATACATTAGTGTGATGGTCAGGTGCAATGCTTTGGCCAATCACAGCACATGATGACTTCAGAAGGATGTGGGGTCACCCGGTTGATGTCACCGGGTGCCCCCGTCCCTTAGATATTAGCTGTCAGACTTTCTAAACCTTTTCAGACCAGAGGAACCCTTGAAAAAACTTTCTGGTCTTAAGGAACCCTGCTAAAAAGTACTATATCTACAACTCATGATACATTAGTGTAATGGTCATTGGGAAGAACGCTCCTTACCCCTAATGGACACTGGGAAGAATTACCGCCTTGCAGATAGCTAAAAAACATCAATGGTGTCAGTGGGAACTTATCTGAGAGGCAGAAATTGCTCATTGCTCAAGGAACCACTAACATCTTCTGGAGGAACCCTGGTTGAGAAACCCTGACCTAGAAGGTTGCCTGGAAGATATCAAGTTGTCATTTCTCATCTATTGTATATTGTGCGCCAAGAGGGGATTTCCTATACGTGCAATATATGGAAGACTTAGTATTAGGTAAGTCATAGCAGGAAACCAACAAATAAATCTGGTTATTTGGATCTCTAAACCTCAGACATGAAATATGAACTCTATAGTCCGTCATTGTCTCAGTCCAGAGCACTAAGTGTCATTTCTGTTTGCTGCCTCCTTCCTCTGCTATCAGCATGAATCGCTTCTGACAGGTTTTCCTGACACCAAAAGAAAAATTGTGACAGGGGAGGAAAGGGGAATGTTGGATTTAGAGTTTGTTTTCCTGGTGGCACTAGTAATCAGAACAATTGGAGAC